CCATCTGTCTGTCACACACACACACACACACACACACACACACACTTAACTTTAGTCTTCTGTGGCTTCCAGCTACAGAGTTTCTCTCCCACACGACCTCTCTTTAAGGACTCTTTAAAGTAGAGACACTACATACTGATATACACCTGAACATCAGCATGAGAGGACTCTTTAAAGTAGAGACACTACATACTGATATACACCTGAACATCAGCAGGAGAGGACTCTTTAAAGTAGAGACACTACATACTGATATACACCTGAACATCAGCAGGAGAGGACTCTTTAAAGTAGAGACACTACATACTGATATACACCTGAACATCAGCAGGAGAGGACTCTTTAAAGTAGAGACACTACATACTGATATACACCTGAACATCAGCAGGAGAGGACTCTTTAAAGTAGAGACACTACATACTGATATACACCTGAACATCAGCAGGAGAGGACTCTTTAAAGTAGAGACACTACATACTGATATACACCTGAACATCAGCAGGAGAGGACTCTTTAAAGTAGAGACACTACATACTGATATACACCTGAACATCAGCAGGAGAGGACTCTTTAAAGTAGAGACACTACATACTGATATACACCTGAACATCAGCAGGAGAGGACTCTTTAAAGTAGAGTGTGTCGTGTCTCCCTCTCCAGGTCAGAGGACTCTGCAGCATCATGGAGACGTTTTGGACACCCAGGTTGTTGTGAATCCGGCTCAGGACTTTGTCTGCTCCGAGGTGAAAACATTACTTATCTGAGGATTAAATGTATGTGATTGATGATGGGATATTACAAAAAGGGTTTTTAATTTATTGTAATTTTATCAAAATGTCGATATGGAAAAGTGCAGCTTCCAAAACGCTGTCAGTACATTTTTTGGTAACGGCTAAATATGTGAAAACATTTTGGAGCTGCAGAGAAGTCCAGACCTACAAACAGAATGCTACAGGCTTAATACAAAACCCATGTTTGGTACAGATCCCCCTTTATAGGCGGCTGAATATATGAAAAAAATAACCAAAATATTGGATTTTAAAATGAAGTAATTGTGGGGGAAACTTCTGAAGCAATGGCAGTCAAGACTCAGAGAGAGACACGAGGAGAGCTGGAGCTTTGATGGGAAACACTGACGGTTTATTTGGAGCTTCGGCCGGAGAATTCACAAGACATGTCACGGGCCACGGTCTGACCACGCGGTTGAGATGCCACAATCAATTCTGAAGAGCTCTACCCCAGACCCATGTGTTTAGCTAGTTCAGAGAGAATAATCAACCTTGTGCATAACAAGATAGAATCATAACACCTCTATCAGCTGACGCCAACAGGCAGGAACAGGGAGACAGAACACTGAGAGCACAGCAGCCAAGGTTACAGGTGCGTGTGCTCAGTGAGGTCAGTATGAACTGATAAACTGGGTCAAAGTTATGGGCCTTGGAAAATATCTCCCCAACAGTAATCATATTATTGCAATTTGGACATTTCCAATATATTTGTAGGCCCCCAAAACTCAGGTTTAGACAAAAAAATTACTTGTCTAGAATAAATTATGGAGGAGTTAGGGTATTTTAAGGAATTTTGGGCCATCTTTGACGCCATCTGGAAAAGTACTTTTAGGGACACATAATACTACACAAAACTGTAAAGAAACCTTTTATTGCAGTTTTTTTGGGGTCAAACCATATTTGCAGCTGACTATTGTTGTTGTGTGTGTGTGTGTGTGTGTGTGTGTGTGTGTGTGTGTGTGTGTGTGTGTGTGTGTGTGTGTGTGTGTGTGTGTGTGTGTGTGTGTGTGTGTGTGTGTGTGTGTGTGTGTGTGTGTGTGTGTGTGTGTGTGTGTGTGTGTGCCTCAGGTCCGGAGGCTGGTTCTGGACCCGTCCCGTCACAAGCTGCTGGTTCTGGCGGGTCAGTGTGAGGAGGCGTCTGGAGACATCGTGCTGCAGAAAGGACGCTTCTCCTTCAGAGACTTCCTGCACATCTTCACAGAGGAAGAGGTGAGATCATCGATATGACCAGGATTCTTAATTTAATGGTTCTGAACACTTTTAAAAATTGAGTAGAAGTACTTAGAGCTTGTTCTTGAGTAAAAGTAGAAGTACTCAGATCTTGTATTTGAGTAAAAGTAGAAGGACTCAGATCTTGTACTTGGAGTAGAAGTACAAAGTAAATGTAAATACTAAAGTTAAGTACAAGTATCTCACAGTTGTCCTGGAGTTCAGTACTTGAGTAAATATCCCGTGTCCCTCCTCTTTGTTTCTAGTTTCCTGTGCCGTGACTCTCTATCTGCTCTCTGTTCCTCAGGTGGTGAAGGTGTTGGGTTCTGCAGACCCCGCTCTGAAGGCCCATCTGACCCTCAGCTGCCCGGACCTGGGTCTCTGGTCCCGCCCGGCTCTGGACCCCCTGCAGGACCTCCTGACGGTGCAGGTGAACCCCCCGCCGGTGCTCCCACAGATGGAGGGTCTGCAGGAGTTTCTGGAGTACTTGTCCGAATCTCTGGAGCCCGAATCGCCCTTTGAGCTCCTGGAGCCTCCGAGCACCGTTGGTTTCCTGAAGCTTTCGAGGCCCTGCTGCTACGTTTTCCCTGGCGGACGAGGAGGATCCGCGTTCTTCGCCGTGAACGGGTTTAACGTGCTGGTGAACGGCGGCTCTGACACCCGGTCCTGCTTCTGGAAACTCGTTCGGCACCTGGATCGGATCGACTCGGTGCTGCTGACCCACGTCGGAGTGGACAACCTGCCCGGCGTGATCAGTTTGTTGCAGAGGAAGGTGGCCGAGCAGGAGGAGGAAGGAGCTGGATCCCAGACTGAAGAGGACTGGATGAAGAACCTCATCTCCCCAGAGATAGGGGTCGTCTTCCTGAACGCCCCCGACAGACTGAAGGCTTTACAGGTGGGAAGTACTGGAGTACAAATACTTCATTTCTGTACTTAAGTACTTATTTATATTTAGGACTTATTTTTCTGACGACTTTTTACTTTGACTTCTTACATGTTGAACACAAATACCTGTACTTTCTACTTCTTACATGTTGAACTCAAATACCTGTACTTTCTACTTCTTACATGTTGAACTCAAATACCTGTACTTTCTACTTCTCACATGTTGAACTCAAATACCTGTACTTTCTACTTCTTACATGTTGAACTCAAATACTTGTACTTTCTACTTCTTACATGTTGAACTCAAATACCTGTACTTTCTACTTCTTACATGTTGAACACAAATACCTGTACTTTCTACTTCTTACATGTTGAACTCAAATACCTGTACTTTCTACTTCTTACATGTTGAACACAAATACCTGTACTTTCTACTTCTCTCATTTTCCAAACAGGCTGGTTCCTTTAGTCTGAATGTGTGTTTGGTGGCGTGATCATTATTATTTAGAGTCATTGCGTGCCTATTGATTTGAACACGATCCGTGTATCCATCATTTCCTGGTCTTCTCTAAAGAAGAGGGACCAATGAAAACGTTGTCATGTTGCCGTTGTTCAGCATGGAAACATTCATTAGCTAACAATGACATTATTGTTCTATTAATATAAAGGGAGGTCAGGTACTCTTTAAAACAGCTGCTAGTTATGGGTACTTTTTACTGAAGTACATTTCAAAGCCTCTTTACTTTGACTTGAGTAAAGAAGTTTAGTCAGTACTTCTACTTTCACCAGAGTATTTTTAAACACAAGTATCTGTACTTCTACTTGAGGAAAGGGTGTGTGTACTTCTACTTGAGTAAAGGATGTGTGTACTTCTTCTTGAGAAAAGGATGTGTGTACTTCTAGCTGAGTAAAGGATGTGTGTACTTTTGCCATCTTTGACAGGTGGACCCGGCGGAGATGAAGAGCTGCGATCAGGCGACGCTCGCTCTGCAGCTTTTAGAAAGACTCTCAATCAAACCGGAGCCTCTGAGCCGGTCTAACGGACCCAGCATCGTGCCGCTGATCCTGTTCCAGAAGATGGGGGTGGGCCGTCTGGAGCTGTACCCTCTGAACCCCATGAGTAAAACCCTGGAAGTCTTGATGCAGAACTGGCCGAACGGCGGGTCGAATGCACCGTCTGAAGAACTTCCGATAAGTTGCCTCGCCTCAATCTGCGCCCTGTTGGTCTGGCACCCATCGAGTCCTCAGGAGAAGATCATCAGGGTCCTTTTCCCGGGCTGCACCCCGCAGAACAGGATCCTGGAGGGACTCGATAAACTCAAACATCTGGAATTCCTCAAACATCCCGTTGTGTGTTTGAAGGACCTAGAAAGTCTAAAAAGGGAGAAACCACCAAAGCGAGCGGAGAGTCAGGAGAGTCTGAAGTCCCAGACCAGGGAGGTCCGACCCAGCAGTGCCTTACAGAAAGACAAGAGAGTGGATCTCAAGAAACAGGATGTGAAGACGAAGCCGAAGACAGCAGGTGAAACCGGACCGAAAGACAGGAAGGATGGGGAGGAGAAGCCAAAAGTAAAGGAGGTAGACGCTAAAGCAAAACCTCAGAAACCTGCAGAAAAGCTGGTTCCAAAGAAAGAGGGGTCAAAGGAAGACAAGAAGGACGTGAAGAAGAAGGACGAGAAGGTCTCTGTGAAGAAAGAAGAGAACGCAGAGAAGAAGAAAGAAGCCGTGAAGAAGGAAACGATAAGTATTAAACCAAAGAAAGATCTCAAGCCGGAACCAAAAAAAGACGGCAAGAAGGATGTGAAGACGGAGGAGAGGAAACCAGCAAAACCAGCTTCTAAAGACGTGAAGAAACCACCATCGTCCACAGGAAGTATCGACGTGAAGAAACCACCATCGTCCACAGGAAGTATCGACGTGAAGAAAGCACCATCGTCCACAGGAAGTATCAACGTGAAGAAAGCACCGGGCAAGTTTGGGTCTCTCAAGAAAGACGGGACCCTCCCAAAGAAAGACTCGACGAATAAAGGGACGAAAGGTAAACCAGGCTCAAAGGAACCAGAAGTCCAGAAGGAGGCGGATCGCTCGAAGGTCTCAACGCCCGAGGACATGACGGCCGAGTTCGAGAATCTTCGGCTGGAAAACGACAACGGGAACAACTCGCAGGTCAACGGGAACTCTGTGGAGAGTCCGGAGAAGTTTCGCTGCTCAGAACCTGCAAGACCTGTGGGATCCGATCTGACCCTCGAGGAGTTGAACCAGGACCCTCGAGGATGTGTTCTGGAGAACTCTGCGTCCTCTCAGGATAAACAGTCCAGCCTCCTGACGCTCAGTCCTTTCAGAGACTCGTCCACCACCATCACCTCCATGCCGGCAGAACTGGGATCCCCTCAATCCACAGAGGTAAGGCGGGTTTATTTCTGTTAGAAAAATATCACTCGACACCGGTTTGAGAATCAATAATCAGGTACTCATTATTTCTTACAAGAAGGAGCAGAGTTAAAGGTCCCCTGTTACACTGTTTCTCATCAGTACATTATAGGTCTCAGATATATCCAGAGCCTGTCTCTGATTGGCTGAAACACCAAACAGGTCATTGCAGCATTACCCATAATCCCCTCTGTTTCAGCCCTGTTTCCAAAGTGCTGATTCTCTGTCTGTTACTTTAGATGAAAATAAGGAGCCCCTCCCCACGCCCCTCTGAGAGACATTTGGTTACAAAGAACTCAATGGAGCTCTAGGAGGAGATTCAGGTGATAAGGGGGGGGGGGTTACCTTGGTGGCTGATTGGCTAATGGTTACACAAGACAGAACATCGGTATGACATCATCAAGTGGCCAAAATCTGATCAGCTCATTTTCAGACAGGTTTTTATAGAAATGGATCAAAAAGAGAGAGAATCTTTGTTCCTGAAACTTTCAGAGTCTCTTTCCACAGAGGGTCACATGGTGATGTAGAAGAGACATGAAGAAGAGGGGACACATGTTGATGTAGAAGAGACATGGAGAAGAGGGGACACATGTTGATGTAGAAGAGACATGAAGAAGAGGGGACACATGTTGATGTAGAAGAGACATGAAGGAGAGGG